GAGAGGGTGGCCCCCCTACAGACAGGAGAGGGTGGCCCCCCTACAGGCAGGAGAGGGTGGCCCCCCTACAGGCAGGGGAGGTCGGCCCCCCCTACAGGCAGGAGAGGGTGGCCCCCCCTACAGGCAGGAGAGGGTGGTACCCCCTACAGGCAGGAGAGGGCACCCCCCCCCCCACAAGCAGGAGAGGTCAGTCCCCCCTACAGACAGGAGAGGGTGGCCCCCCTACAGACAGGAGAGGGTGGTCCCCCCTACAGACAGGGGGAGGTCGGCCCCCCCTACAGGCTGGAGAGGGCGGCCTTCCCTACAGGCAGGAGAGGGTGGCCCCCCCCCCCCCACAGGCAGGAGAGGGTGGTCCCCCTACAGGCAGGAGAGAGTGGCCCTCCTACAGGCAGGAGAGGGTGGCACCCCCTACAGGCAGGAGAGGGTGGCCCCCCTACAGGCAGGAGAGGGTGGCCCCCCTACAGGCAGGAGAGGGTGGCCCCCCTACAGGCAGGAGAGGGTGGCCCTCCTACAGGCAGGAGAGGGTGGCCCCCCTACAGGCAGGAGAGGGTGGCCCCCCTACAGGCAGGAGTGTGGCCCCCCTACAGGCAGGAGAGGGTGGCCCTCCTACAGGCAGGAGAGGGTGACCCCCCTACAGACAGGAGAGGGTGGCCCCCCCTACAGGCAGGAGAGGGTGGCCCCCCCCCTACAGGCAGGAGAGGGTGGCCCTCCTACAGGCAGGAGAGGGTGGCCCTCCTACAGGCAGGAGAGGGTGGCCCCCCCTACAGGCAGGGGAGGTCGGCCCCCCCTACAGGCAGGAGAGGGTGGCCCCCCCTACAGGCAGGAGAGGGTGGTACCCCCTACAGGCAGGAGAGGGCACCCCCCCCCCCACAAGCAGGAGAGGTCAGTCCCCCCTACAGACAGGAGAGGGTGGCCCCCCTACAGACAGGAGAGGGTGGTCCCCCCTACAGACAGGGGGAGGTCGGCCCCCCCTACAGGCTGGAGAGGGCGGCCTTCCCTACAGGCAGGAGAGGGTGGCCCCCCCCCCCACTGGCAGGAGAGGGTGGTCCCCCTACAGGCAGGAGAGAGTGGCCCTCCTACAGGCAGGAGAGAGCGGCCCCCCTACAGGTAGGAAAGGGTGACCCCCTCCCTACAAGCAGGATAGAGTGGCCCCCAACAGGTAGGAAAGGGTGACTCCCCTACAGGCAGGAGAGGGTGGCCCCCCCCCCCTACAGGCAGGAGAGGGTGTCCCCCCCCCCACACAGGCAGGAGAGGATTGAAATTGAAATAAGTTTATTGAGGTAAAATACACACAAAGGGATGAGGTAGCTCAAGCTATTCTCACCCCGTTCAGTACAACGTGTTAGTACATGTTGTACTGAACGGGGTTGGTCCCCTCTACAAGCAGGAGAGGGCACCCTTCCCATCCCCCCCCTCCACAAGCAGAAGAGGGTGGCCTTCCCCTACAGGCAGGAGAGAGCATCCTTTCCCTCCCACAAGCAGGAAAGGGTTGCCCCCTCCAATGCAAGCAGGAGAGGGCACCCCCCACCACAAGCAGCAAAGGGTGGCCCCCAAACAGGCAGATGGTGGCCCTCCCCTACAGGCAGAGAGGGCAGTCCACCCACAGGCAGGAGAAGATGGCCTCCCACAGGAAGGAGAGGGTGGCCTGTTATATACTGCAGGTATGTTGATAACATATTTATGCAGGTACCTGATGTCGGATGTTTGCAGCAGTTGAAGGAGGCATTCCAGCAAAATTCTGTGTTTAGTTTCACTTACGAGATGGAGATTGATAGGAAGCTGCCCTTTCTAGATGAAACATTTGTGGAATGGAATGGAGGCCTTCATGCTGCAGTCTACACCAAGGAAACAAACATAGGAATGTGCCTTAATGCTAATAGTGACTGCCCGGACAGGTACAAGCGGAGTGGTGTCAACGCCTACGTCGATCGAGCTCTCACTCACAGCTCAGGTTGGAAGCAGCAGATCAACGAGGAATTCTGTAGAGTAAGGAAAATCCTAGTCAATAATGGCTTCTCTAATGGTTATGTTGAAGATGTCATTAAAGGAAGGTGACACGCCATGCAACCTCTGAAGATACAACCAACAACACACCTGTACCTCTGTTAGATTGTTTTACAGGAACTTCTTTTCCTTGCCTTATAAAAATGTTAAAAAAATAGGAATGTTATCCGCATGTTAAATGTTATAAAAATAGGAATGTTATCCTCACAGACACCAATCAGAAGATACAATTAACAATTTACTACAAAAACAAGATCCCCAACTTCCTTATGAAGAACTCTCCAGACACCAAGCAAAATGCCTTAAGAGTGTCTAATGTTGTTTATGCCTTCACTTGCCCACTTGGGGACTGTCAGCCCCAAAGATCTCAGTATACAGGCAAGACCACAACATCTCTCTCTAGGTTATTAACACTGCACACACTGAAATAATTGACAGGTATAACGACAACAGAAGACTGAAGACTGGACATCAGCGAGGCCCTACATATCAAAAAGTCAAGATCAGCCACCAACAACCCGTTTCAACATAATTACATCCTACCCACTTCAAGACCCCAAGCCAACAGACACACAGGAACAGCAAGAATGTAAGCTTCTTATGTTGATGCATGTAATACCCTATTAATATTCCTTATGTTATGACATTCATCCACTTGTTCACCTCACTCATGTTCTGTACCACTTCACCCAAAGAGAATATAAGGCATTGCAAAAGCATGGTAAATTTGTCTTTGAAAATGTAAGGAGTACCTTGTGAAATGCATCCCTAGGCAACAGACCATAATAACGTGTGAAAATGAACTTTTGGAGTTAATTTTTCAACTTCCCTCGACATTGAAGAAAAACAAAAGAAATATTGAGAAGATTCGTGTTAAATCATTAATCTTACCCCTTTCGGTCATATTCAACAACCTAAATTTTATGTATATTTTATGTAAAAATATACAAGGGTATCACCACTGGTTGCATTTGTAGTGACCCTTGACCTTGAAAACGACAACATGTAGCATCCAGGGTAACCTTGTCGGGCACCCACATACACTCACATATTGTCCTCTCCTACCACCCCCTGTATATTGTGTATTTTGTCCTTTTATTTTACTTTAAACTTCATTATACAAAAAGGGTTACAACATTAGTTACATGCAAGGTACAACGCTAGTTGTCTCAGGTTGTCGAGTTCTTCCAGCTCCTCTGATGGAGGGCAAGAACCATGGATGCAGTGTGCGTTTCCTCTCTCTATCGCCACTCAGGCGCTGAAAGAGGAAACCGGTGGCTCTAGGGTCTATTGTTGTTCCAATTAGCCTAGAACCCAGCTCCTTAAAAAAAATAAAGCAGTACTTTTACCATAGACACCAAATGTGTCTGAGGCAATGGGGACAAAATTGTACAGTAGTGGTGATCAAGATCTCTGTATTAACGAGACTTGGATATGTAGTACTGACGTCAACATAGATGCTGGCTAAAGTCGAAATGCACTTTTAGTCCCACACCAATTGTCTACCATCCTTCCAGGGGTTCACTGTGATCCTGTCTGGGCAAACGACAGGCTTGTCAGAGTTGCAAGGCATTAGGTAACGAGGTTTTCTCTCTGCTGGACAACCGGCTGTGGTAAGGCTTCCCTTAATACAGGTACTGTAATGTCATTTACCTTGCTGTGTCTTGCATGCCATCCTCCTGTGCTTTAGCAGAGCAGGCCATACTGGTCATACCTGTCAGCCACTGCCTCGTGGCAAATGCACCTATATTAGGTGTGGATTGGGACAGCGAAGCGGAAAGCCACAGCAATTTGGAGGGGTAGCCATATGTTGTATGAGACGCGTGCCGGTTGCTGACATTGGGGGTTGCTAATAGGAAGTCACCTGCATGGGAAGCTGCTACAGCTCCAAGTCGGTCAGAATCACACAGTATATATCCAAGTTGGCATGTACATACATTCAGGCAAGGGAAAAGAAACACACGTAATGAGAAATGTTTATTTCATATTACTGCCTTATTGCATAGATGATAAAAAGATGTCAATATGAGCTTGTAATCAGTTGTTCTGCAATGGCCTGCTTCCAAGGCAAACAATTTCCTAGTTATGTGGCCAAGCTTGTGCTCTGGCTCATAGTTGTCTGGTGCATATACAGGTATGTGGCAGTTTGGCTCCACCACTTGGAATGCAGCTTCATGTAGACACTTAGTCTGGTTTTTTCCTATAAACCATGACTGAACATTATGCTGGGAATGGTATAATGTGCCATATATACTATAGTCGAGGCCTCTGTGTTGGGGCTAAGGGTATTTATAGCAAGACTAATCCTCAAGATCAGGGAAGATACGCTATACGGCAGTACGCAGAGTCTCTCAACATGTTTCTGTTGTCAATATCCACACACTTCTTTAGAATGTTTCAGAACTGCAGCAGTACCCTCTGGGACTATTAATAAACAAATAAGGCTCAAGTCCCATATTGTACAGTACTGAATTCATCTTCAAAAGTAAGGATTAATTACAAAATAATGCCCTAATTATGCTTAACCTAAGATGAGCATCATCAGCATAATCTGATAATGCTTTAAAATTGCTCTTCTAAACTCTATAATGAATAATACAACCCTACGAAATTATTGTTCAGACTCAAGAGGTAAAATCCATAACAAGAGATAACAGATGTAGGGAAAACCTGGTTGATCCCAACGAGTAGTTTGTAACATTGATTAGTTTAATTGGTCATTTATACAAGTAAAAAACAATTAAATAGTATAAACTATCTTAAAAAACTTTCACTTTAACAGTTACGTAGAATATTACAGTTTGGATTAACCAGGTTTTCTGTAATCAAGCAATCAACAACATGAATCGCAGACTCTATGAATAGTGTTCTATTGTAAACAAAAGGCATAAAAGCCTGCAGATAATACCAATAGGAATCTGATATGCTGTATAGACTTTGCAAAGAATCTAGCCAACTAATTAATAGTATGAATACTATTACAGTACATTTATTTAAACCTTTAAAACTGCAAATGATTATATATACACACTGCAGTGAAACTGACGCTTTGCCCAAAAAATTGTATGTATACGTAATCTAAATGCGTTTTGTTTTAGAAACAATGCCAAAGGAGCTTTATGACTTACTAAAAGGTTTGCAGCATGTCCCTAGAATTGTATACAGCATTTCATAGGAGTCACATTTAAGTTTACAATTCTTTCCTCATCATATTGCTGACTGTTTTGCTTTTGGGAAACATTAGGTTTTGATTATTAGTGATATTCACCAAAGGTGCATTTTTTATCTTTACGTATCATTTATCACCAACGACCTGTTACAAATCCACAATTCAGATTCCCTAATTTCAGTTCAGATGCTTCAGGTCATCTGTTTCATTCATGCATCCACATTAACAAAACGGGGGATGATGGTGGTGGTCAGTACAACAAAATGTAAGCCATAACACTCACGTGGAAATGAAGCTGATATGAAACTACCACAATCTCTAAAGGCCACACATTGGTGTAGTACAGTGTACCGGACTTTGCAGACAAACAATTTACAGTCCATAGAATGCTTCAGGCAATATGTATTACTGTGAGGAATTTGAGTCCCATCTTGTGTGTTCATATGAGAATTAATGTGATAACTGACCATAATAAGCATTATTATTAACATGACATTGCAAATAAGCCTTGGATTAGCTCAATCATTAACGATAAAGAGAACTTAATACAGAAAAAGCATCAAAGACTTATTAGCAAGGATTATGTTAAACTGTATCATCTTACAGAACTATCCTTCATTTGCAACAATTAAAAAAACACCAAAATTGAAAACAAAAGTGCGAACATTGCTATAGTTCACTTAGACGGCAAAATAGTAAGTGCAACTGAACCTCGTGCTTCTTTCAAAATAGCCACTGCATCAGCATGGGTCAAACCGGCAAGAGATTGTCCATTCACTTCCAGAATCTGATCGCCACGTCTTAGGGATCCTTCGCGAGCTGCTGCACCGCGTTCAAACACACTTTTCACATATATGGGCAGATCTCCCAAGTTGGAGCCAAAGCCTCCAACAATTGAGAAACCTAGACCATCGTCACGTCTTTCGAGCAAAATTGTCCTTATGCCCAATGGTTCCTGAGTCTCCTGTTGTGGATGTTGGTGTGGTTGTGGTGGTGGAAGATGGTGTGGCTGGTGGAGAGGGATGTGTGTGCGGGGAATGGGAACGGGGGGCTCCGTGGATGGACTGTTGGAGCTATCTGGGGAACTGTCACTTATTGTCACTGGCCAAGTACTGTTCCTGAAATACACGGTATATCAAAATCTTCGGTCATTTGTACATTTCATCTTACACTCTAATAATGTCATGCTTATGTACAAAACTAAAAGTTTTAATGGCAAAATACTTTTATATCATAGAACTATGGCATCAGTACAAACCTCTACTTCCTGTGGGTGCATGCAAATGTATAATATTACAATATTAGTTCAAATTATATATTCTTGGACAATCCCATATTAATATAAAATATAAACTATTTAAATTACCTTTTCAAAGTGCTTAAATGGTCAGTCTCAAACTTAGAAACAGAACGTGTTCTGAAAAGGTATTCTTAAGCTGGCCACTCTTGACTCTGAGCCAGGTTTCCCACAGCCACAATGTGAGCGGTGAAGTTTTGGACCACCAAAATTAAACACATAAAACCCAAATTTTATGGACAATGCAAGAAACTGCTTTTCAATTACCTAAAATAATAGAATTGCCCTACTTGTCTGATCTGATGTTTTTTTGAAGAGAGAAGATGCATAATTATTAAAGGAGGCAGTAAGAGGTGATGTTGCATTGGCACATCAACACACTTCCACCCCTTATTACTGAGGAATTTCTCCTAAATGAGCAAGTGAAGTTGTGCATTAGCAGGACTGTTTTTAATGTGGGGATGTTGGAATTGGTTCATATCAAGAAACAAGGGGGTCCTAACATGGGAACTTTGAGGCAGTTTGTAAGATCAAAAGTTTACAAGTCAGATCTTTGTTTGCAATATTTGTAAGAGGGGGAAGACCCTGTACAATTTGCTTTAATAAAAGTACAGCGGAATATCACTTACGCATTGTTATTAGAATTGGCTTTCTTGCCAGCCTTGAGCCGCCCCAGCTTCATGGAGACTGAACCTGGCGCACATTTCAGGATGGCTGCAGCTTGCTCTTGGGTTGCTTGCCGGAGATCCTTATCATTCACCTCTAAAATTTGATCTCCTTGCATTAGACGCCCATCGCTCTCTGCTACACCACCTGGGACCTGTCATTAACAGAAATATTTTCATGTAACTTAAGATATGGTTTGGTCGCAAGAGAGCAAACGAGAAAGGTCCCAGTAAAAGACTTAAGCAGAGGAGGCCTGGTTGAGAACGGACCGCGGGGATGTTGAACAGTGAAATCATTGCAAGGCAGGAGGAACCAGAATAATGCTCGGAGCCAAACCCTGGTCATAGGGAACACGGGCAGACAATATTCATGCTACTAAACAACTGCTTGACCAACATTCAAGTAATTTGAGTCCTCTCCAACATCAAACTAAGATGATCCTGCAGGCAAGAGCCAAGCTGCTGGTGGCAAAGAAAGGGAAGCTGACTGATAATCCCAGACCAGACCCAACCAACCAACCTGGGATGGAACCAACTGGTATTTCTTCCAGTTCACAAGGAACCAGGGGCTGGATTCATCAAGCAATTATGCAAGTACTTATGAACCTGTACATCTTTCCTCAATCTTTTGCGCCTTTGTTTACATACAGTATATTAAATAGTTTATGAGCTCTGAAGCACCAGGAGACTGTTTATAACAATGATAACACTTGATTGGGAAGTTACGATCCTTGAAAGCTGTTAAATAAATGTAAACAAAGCTTCTAAAGACTGAGGTAAGATCTACAGGTTCATAAGTACTTGCATAACTGCTTGTTGAATTCTGGCCCAGAGTTTTGAGCTGTGAAAGAACCAAATTCCCATCTTATAAACAAGCAGACTGGTTGGGAACCTAAACCAGCCAGCATTCTAAGCAGACCAGACACTACCACACCCTCCAAAATGTAAAACAAAGATACAGTCAAAAGTATGAGGAACTAGAACAAGGGAAGAATCCAAAATGAAAAATAAGAATGCCTTGAAGAAAACCAACAGGTTCTGAAACAAGAAAATGAGACAAACCAAGAGATGGCAAAAACTAGAAGAGACATTGCTTGCAAAGTGAAAACAACAGCCCAAAGTTTAAGAGAGATGACAGAAAACAGAAAGGATGCATTCCAAGAGGACTAAAATTAACCACAGATCCAGAGAGACCACACAGGGTAAGTAACAGTACAGGGAACTTCCCCCTTGAGAATAAAGGGAAAACCGAAACACCCACCATCCAAATGCCATGTAAATGCTCAACGGAGCCAGAATGGGAAGGGACAGGCTGAATCAGTCAAAGGGGGCAGCCTACAGTCATGGACGGACACCACCTGGCAGGTCCAAGCTTGGGATAGGATGCCCATGGACCCTCTTTGGGCTCCTTCCTGCCAGGAAAGTCCAAAAAAATAAAGATCCCAGGAAAGAGCCATAATACACACCAGATGCTGTAAACAGTAAAGTGCCTCTCATGAGGAAGGAACTGAACCTCAAACAACAATATCCTGAGAAAGGGAATGCAACATATCCTAGGTGGAAAGCATTGCTTCAACTCCACATGCCTACACTATAGAAGAAGCAATCTCCAGAGAACAGGGTATCACAGACACCCATCCCAAACTCTGAAAACCTCAAGACATTTTGGAATCAAAGAGGGGGGATAAGCACCCTGAAGCATCATGCTAGAAGGGCTGGAAAAAAAAGGAGGGAGACAAACTTTGAACAGCTGGGTTACACAAATCCTTCTGCTGCAATCCCCAAACACAACAGGGGCTGACTTTAGGGCAATTACAGTGATAACATGATGCAAAAATGAACACTGGAAAACTATTTCATGAATGTGGTTGCTGCATAAAAAAAAAATTAATAAAAAATAAAAGATGTAAAAAAAGCCTTGCCCCTGGATGGAGGGCACAGCTAGAATTGTGGAAGGCACAACTCACACCCAACGATGACACGTCCCAGGTCTTTGGGTAGAAAGAACAACCACCAAACAGACGATATGAATGGCAGAGGCAGACGAATGACCATAGGAGAGTAGCAACTAAAACATTTCTAAAACTCACAAGCAAATGCAGGCTCAGTGGTCCACACCAAAGACCTGCAGGTAAAGATCAAGCAGGTCACCCAGCCATTAGCAACAACTGCAAAACATAGCACTAAGGAGAAACTTAGCTGTGAAGGTCATCAGCAATGTGCTGTATGTACAACCACATGAATCCTTGAGTGCATATAGTCAATAAACCCCAGAATTCCCCCCAACATCAGAGCACTGCAGAGGTGTCAAAGACCCTTGCACTACCTTAGACAAGGCACCCTTCACAGGAGATCAACCTCTCGGACTAACACAAACTCACTAGGAAAGTAACCATGTCAGGACATGGGCAACACCAAGGAGTGCCTAGAGAAGGGCAGCCCTAGGCACGTGCAGCTTGAGGTGAACAGTTTCAAAAGCCCACACAACAAGTGAGGCTTGTAAACACATGTACATGGAGCAAATACTAAAGCATGGAGCCATAAACAAGCAAATGGGCCCCCCATATGAGAGAGTCCAAAGGATGGCCAACACTTATCTGGAAATAGTAGAACCTGAAGTGCTGGTGACTCAGGGCATTCAGACAGGTCTGACATGTAAATACCCGAGGGTTAATGAAGGGGGATCCAACAACAGCTCCTGTGGTGCCGCCACCTGGTGGCAGACGGGGGCTACTATAGGGGTGCACGACTTAACTACTGGCTCGATAGTTTGCTGCATTGTTTTTTTTTTTTGAGCCTTGCACTTGTCTGTTTTGCTGTGCTTATTTTCCTGGGGCTCAATTCTTTGATGAGGATTATATAAATCTCCTTCTATGTCTGCAATTTTGACGGGGTCAAGGTTTGGCACCTGGTACTCGATAGGCTCTCAATGACACTTACACCCATAAGTCACATCAGCAAGGGGTGATGTGACTTACAGGTGTGGAGGTATCTCAGTGCAGCTAGCAATACAGAGCCACTCTTCAGGCCCTCCAAAACAAAATATTTCTTGTTGATAATCGCTCAGTCCAACTTAAAGCAAACACACTATGCAGACAAAGGTACCTTAAATTACCTTCTAATATCATAAAGAACTGCACAAATTTTGTTACTTAAAAGTACAGTATTGTAAAGAATCACCTTATTGCCTCACTGTATTACTCCACCCTGCTCTCTATCATCCATTATGTAATCTGTAGTATAAAATCACATTAATCTGGTACCAGCATAATACCACATTCTCGTGTTGCTAGTTATCATATTACTAACTTAACAAATGGCTCCAGACCCAGCATAATAACATGTTCGTGTCCTCACCAGCATGTTCTGCATCACCACTAGCTAGATAAAAAAGATGAATTCACTCCGTCAAATCAACTTTAGTGTGTTTTTTGTTTAAAGTATATCACATTCTCTTTTAGCACTTGTTGGCATTCAAAATGTCAAAATTTTATTTATCTATTTATTAAAAGTCATGAGACTTATTTATCTGTACTGTACTTACATATATGTGAAGAAAAATGCAGATCACAAAGCCGTTTTATAGCGTTACAGAGGGGAAGCACAAAAAGGTTACCTCCCTGCATGCAATAGTCATTACAAATGCTAAGAAAGAATAACTCAAAATAGTCTTTCAAAAGTTTCTTACCACATCAGATATAAAAACTCCTGGTCCATTCTTGCGTCCAACTATTGAAAGTCCAAGACCCTTCCCAGATTTTTTGGTGAGCTGGACGGTGATGGTGTCATAGAGGTCCTCTTCCTTTTGAGTTCCTTCTTCACGATAAACAACCATCTTCACCTATCATATCAACACACTTTAATTAGTACATTACATTAGTTTTTATATAATAAAATGCAACAAAACAATAATGCTGAATAAAGATGAGATGACCAAAGCAGTTAGTCAAATGTAATCAAGTATGGGAACTTTATAACAAATTATATTAATTATATGCAAAATTTGCAAGAAAATTTCATCAGACATTTGAGGAAATAGTTGAACATATTCAAGATATTCAGGTTATCAAAATACATAACATGACTATTTTATTGTAACTGCATCATGAGACTCAACACAGGGGGTCCTGTCTGAACAGTCGGGTTCAGTCTTGACTCACAATCGAGATGCTCGGGTTCAAATCCCGGGCGGGACAGAAATAGTTGGGCACCTATCTTATCACTTAATGCCCCTGTTCACCTAGCAGCAAGTAGGTAAACAGGAGTTAGTCAACTTTTTTGGGGGGTTGCATTCTTGGCAGGGGTCAGTAATTTGACCATGGAGGCTTGAGGGGAGGAAGTGGAGGGGGGGGGGGGCGGGTTTGTGTAATTCGACCTTGATATAAGCCTAATGTGTATAAATACACTCTGGCTGCCTGTTCCTCCCAACGTAACAAATTATTATTAATTATATGCTAAGTTTAACCAATTAAGTCAAAGTATCATTCAATATTTAAAAGAATTGAGTAACATTATCTCCTTTCCATAATTTTCTTCCCTCACTCAGGTATGTAATTTATCTCTATAAAAGATTAAGATTATGTATTAATTCAATTTAAAAAACATATATGCTGCTCTTACACAGAAAATATTAACTGTCAAGCCTTCTCTATAGTACAGTAACAATTCTGTTAGCATCCACTAATCTCTCAACCAGGTCCTCAAAAACCTATTAACTAGCAAGAAGACAATGGAGAAACATACTGTAATGCCAGTGTGCTTGAATAGAGCATTACGACATTCTCAGAACACTATTTACAGCACCTTGAGAAACGATGCAGGTTCCGTCCTTTAATACCTATAAAACCTGTGTTGTTGTTTTAATACACTCACACAGTAGGTCTCTCCTTCACCTTCAAAGATGACAATAATAACCCTTCTTGGAGATCCTGCTTGAATTTTGCCCCAAATCTAGTGCTGGGACTATCACCATACTAATCTATACTTCAGCACGTATATAACAAAATGATCATATACTGTATGACTTACACAAGCTTCTTAGAATGACCTTTCCTGGGCTCAAAATATTAGAACAGTGGCATAAACTACTTCCTCTGCACACATCATATTGCATCAGCATCATAAGTGCGGTAGACTCTATGCACCATGTTGCATCAGCATCATAAGTGCGGTAGACTCTATGCACCATATTGCATCAGCATCATAAGTGCGGTAGACTCTATGCACCATATTGCATCAGCATCATAAGTGCTGTAGACTCTATGCACCATATTGCATCAGCATCATAAGTGCTGTAGACTCTATGCACCATGTTGCATCAGCATCATAAGTGCGGTAGACTCTATGCACCATATTGCATCAGCATCATAAGTGCGGTAGACTCTATGCACCATGTTGCATCAGCATCATAAGTGCTGTAGACTCTATGCACCATGTTGCATCAGCATCATAAGTGCAGTAGACTCTATGCACCATATTGCATCAGCATCATAAGTGCTGTAGACTCTATGCACCATATTGCATCAGCATCATAAGTGCGGTAGACTCTATGCACCATGTTGCATCAGCATCATAAGTGCAGTAGACTCTATGCACCATGTTGCATCAGCATCATAAGTGCAGTAGACTCTATGCACCATGTTGCATCAGCATCATAAGTGCGGTAGACTCTATGCACCATATTGCATCAGCACCATATTGCATCAGCATCATAAGTGCGGTAGGTTATCTTGAGGTTATCTTGAGATGATTTCGGGGCTTTAGTGTCCCCGCGACCCGGTCCTCGACCAGGCCTCCACCCCCAGGAAGCAGCCCGTGACAGCTGACTAACACCCAGGTACCTATTTTACTGCTAGGTAACAGGGGCATAGGGTGAAAGAAACTCTGCCCATTGTTTCTCGCTGGCGCTCGGGATTGAACCCAGGACCACAGGATCACATGTCCAGCGTGCTGTCCGCTCGGCCGACCGGCTCCCTAAATAGGGAGCGGTAGACTCTATGCACCATATTGCATCAGCATCATAAGTGCGGTAGACTCTATGCACCATATTGCATCAGCATCGTAAGTGCGGTAGACTCTATGCACCATATTGCATCAGCATCGTAAGTGCGGTAGACTCTATGCACCATATTGCATCAGCATCATAAGTGGGGTAGACTCTATGCACCATATTGCATCAGCATCGTAAGTGCGGTAGACTCTATGCACCATATTGCATCAGCATCATAAGTGGGGTAGACTCTATGCACCATATTGCATCAGCATCATAAGTGGGGTAGACTCTATGCACCATATTGCATCAGCATCATAAGTGGGGTAGACTATGCACCATATTGCATCAGCATCATTTTATAAGAGTGGCAGACTATATGCATAGGGAAGAGCCCACTCAATGTACCACCAATTTAGATCATGGGCTAACATCAGAAAATGGCATGAATGATCAAATTCAGGTCGGGGAAAAGCTCCTTCCCTTCATGAGATCACAATATTCTAAGCTGGATTACATTTACAGAAGCTCACGTAAAGGTCCAGGACTTTGACTTTCTAGATTACCCTCGAGGTGATTATCAAGGAATGAAAGAGGAAGTGCAAACCACCACCTGGAGGGAGCTGACAGGTGATCATGACATGGAAGCATCATGGCCAAATTTTAAGGTCATTACTAAACTCCTTGCAAAATATGTGCCAAAAGGGACAAAGAAAAGAAAGGCAACTAGATGGATGACAGAGGTGGTAAAAAGAGTTTTGATAACTAAGCAGAACCTCTGGAGAACGTATAAATTCACGACAAACACCATTGATTATTAGATATAAAAAAAGGCTTTAACAACCACCCAGGAAATCATATCAGCCAAAATAAACTATGAAAGAAAATTTGCCCAAAACATAAAGGAATATCCAAAGACATTCTATGCTTACATAAGAGGTAAAACCAAAGTAGGACCCTTAAAAGATGAGACTAAGTTATGATGGACGATAAAAGGGCAGCACACACACTGAATGAATCCTTTACATCAGTGTTCACAAAGATTAAAAGACATCCTATTACACACAAATGTTTGAAGGTGAAGAGGATGCATTAAGGGATATACCCCTAACATGTGACAATCAGGAAGAGCATTGACATACTAAAAGACTCTAAAGCCTCAGTGTGGATGGAATTCATTCCAGAGTCATAAAGGAACTGGCAGATGAACTATGCCTACCACTGAAATTCTCTTTCAGAAAATCTCCAGACTAAGGAATAGTTCTCCTAAACTGAAAATATGGAAATGTCACCCATATTTAATAAAAAAAGACAGAAAGCAACCGTCCAATCAGCTTGACAATACACATCTGCAAACTCATAGAGATAATCTTAAGGAAGGCGAATCATTCACTATCACACATTGAACAATATTGTAAAATCAATGCAACATGGGTTTGTATAGAATACCAGAATGGATAAAACAATGGTTAAAACATAAAAAACAAAGGGTCATGCTAAATGAGAATGCATCTGACTGGAGAAATGTAGTGAGTGGGATACCACAAGGGTCCATTTTGGGCCCAACCCTTTTTGTTATATACACCAATGACATGAGAATATTATATTACAAAGCACATCATCAAATTTTCAGATGACACTAAGATTTGTGGTAAAGTGGGAAGTGAAAATGATATTGAGACCTTACAAAGAGATCTACATAAACTCCACAAATGGTCAGATGACTGGCAAATGTTTTTTAATGTCGAAAGATGCAAAACCTTACATGGCGGCATAACAACTCACGTCACAACTACCAAATTACCAACATTACATTGCAGCAAATTAATGAAGAAAAAAACCTTGGAGTCAGAACACATCATTCACTGAAAGATGCACAACAAGTGGGTACAACAGTACAAAAAAAACTAATCGAACTCTTAAGAATAATCAAGCGTAATCTTGACTAAGAAAAAGAAGGTACTCGATAGTTATTGAACTGTATAAATCTCTGGTACAGCCTCACTAGAATTATTGTATCCAAGCATAAAGATAACACACACATATTCATTTACTAATGCAGTATAAACCCACTACACACTGTAAACTAAGTAGCTAAGGCTAACACAAGCCATTTAACTGAAGAGTTCTGGTCCTTGTTTGCCCAAACAACTGTCACAATGCAACCTGTCCTCTTTACAAAGAACATCACATTTCAATAGTATGCGTTACACAAGGCCAAAAACTGTCATGGTAGAAAATGGCAGCGGCTCGCGAAAGTGACATACTATCCCATTTTCTGTTTCGAGTCCTCTGGTAGGTTAGGAGAGGACACTTTAATTTTATCCTTTTCTTGATGTTGGGAAACCTTAGGAGGATGGGCTGCACAATGGGCCAGTAAGCAATAATGTAAGGAGATTGGGGCCTGGGAACTTTGTTGGCAAATGCCATCCTTGGCAGTCCATGTGATGCCAAATAACACTTGGAAAATCTTTAAATCCCTATGAATGTGCTTTCTGGCCTGAACTGACTTCTATAGTGTGTGTCTATACACACACCTCGACACAAACTATACTTACTACACCTCGACAATATGACTTGGTAGGGACACTTTGATATGTTTCCCACAATGCCAATATAGCACACTGACCTGCCATGACTGCACTAAATCCTCCAGGTGTTCACTAAGATCTTAATTTATGGAGCAATAAAGTAGATGACGTTAGAATTACCACTATTAAACATGAACACTTATTCTATCAATTATCAAATTTTGGCCCAACCACACATTAGACCTCATTTCTTGTTAGTGATTACACATGAAAAGATTCTATACATATGTTTTTACATATCAAACAACAGAAACACGAACAAAAATAAAGATAACACTAACAAACACAGTATTCATAGATTACTGTACACCTGTTGTTTCACAAAGATGTTGGTTACAATTACTGATAAATATAGCATATACATACTCTACGCACAAAACGTGCTCTACCACGAATAAAACAGTAATTTAACTTATTTATACAATCAATTTTCATGACAAGTAAAGCACCACAAATAAGCCCAAATATTGCCACGTTGATATTAATATTCACGACAACAGAGAAATCTGTACAGAAAGGTCAATCCAAGCTGAACTGTACTATAAAATAATCTACTGTATTTTTAAGGAATCGGTTAGTGTTCAAGTCTGCTTGATCATTATTATATGAAAAGATTCCCCTTAAGATTCAACTTGCTCCAGCAGTTCAAGCGCACACGAGCAACAGCGCAATGACTTACAAGTTAGGGAAATGATCTCTTTTTGTCAGGGAGTGACGTGGGTTTTGTCAGGGGGAGTGAGTGACCTCGGATGTCAAGTGAGTGGCCACGGATGTTAGGAAAGAGGCCTTCGATGTCGGGAGAGGCCTCTGATGTCATGGGAGAAGCCTTAGATGTTAAGAGAGAGGTTTCAGATGTCAACGGAGAAGCATCAGATGTCAAGGGAAAGGCTTCAGATGTCAAAGGAGAGGCTTTGGATATTAGGGAAGTGGCCATTGATGTCAGGGAAGTGGCCATTGATGTCAGGGGAGTGGCCACGATTGTCAGGGGCGTAGCCGTGATTGACAGGGGGAGTGGCTGTTGATGTCAGGGAAGTGGTCACGATTGTCAGGGGAGTGGCCATTGATGTCAGGGGAGTGGCCATTGATGTCAGGGAAGTGGCCACAATTGTCAGGGGTGAGTGGCCATGGATGTTAGGAGATTAGCCTCGGATGTCAGGGAAGTGATCTCGGATCAAGGCTGGATTAAGACCTTCAGATAGCACAAGCACTGAAAAGCACCCCATATATTATATATGTAATGCAAAATATAAACAATATTAAACAGCAAAAATACTGTATGTATGTGTGTGTATTTTATTATATATACATATATATTTTTCCAATGAATAAATATAATTATTTATATGAAACAAAACACCTATCATTCCATTGCTTTCTTGCTTTGAAGATACACAACATACTATAATTATATTAATATTTTTTTCTAATTTATGGGTCGGCATTTTATGGGCCCTGGTTCAGCTGCAACACTGCACCAAGGTCCACTGTAAATTTCGCACTGGAAAAAAAACTTTACGAGGCCTCGTTACTTGAGGCCCTAAGCAGGTGTTTATTGTGCCTAATGGTTAATCCAAGGGTGTCTTGGATGTATATGACCCCAAACATTCACTATACATCATGGAAACGACAAGAGCTGCAAACTCCCGATCACTCACAATCACTCGCTCATCATCATGCCATGTCATACAAGTAGCACATTATCAAAACAATGACTTTTCAATTTGTATATTGAAAACTATTTATTCAGTGATTTCAAAATGGGTAGTCAAGCCATGATCATTTCCCATCCACCACAAAGTACAGAATCAACGAGATGAGTAACATAGAAGCCCCCAAAAATACTAAAGATGTTATGCATTTTACTAGACAAGTTAATTACCACTTTTAACTCTGTATCTTACCTTAACATTTTCCTTTACCACAAAAGAAAAAGAAAACAAAATAAATAAATTTTGGAATAAAAATAATTAAAATGCATTAAGACTAAATCATAATAAAAATTAAATGTAGCACATTTATATCATCTGCCTCAAGCCCAAAATCACCCAGCAAAAATCTATCATAACTATAATGAACTGTTTTCAGACAACACACAGCTCCTCTGTTTAATCCCTAAACATGCTGAACATACACTCACACTCCACTCATTCTCTTGTCTTGTTTACAAAACCTTATTATGAAATGCTAATCCTGATCTGAAACTCTTCCTTGATACATGCAATAAAACCCATGAGCACCACACCTGAAATAAATATCTCTTTGATATTCCTATTGTCAGACTGAATCTGGCAAATACTCCATGCAAATAAAAGGACCCAGACTATGGAACTCACTCCCTAACAAATTAAAAATTGCCCAACCTTTACCTTATTCAAAAGTAAAACCAAAAAGTACCTAACTTCATCCTCATAAGTTTCCTACTACATGCTCCAAACTCACACTTTATCATGCGCTACTCTCTCGCCCAATTTCAGTAATTAAGACCTGCAACATCACCAGTATAATCTATACAATCAACTTATAATGTAGTTATGTTAAACTCCAATCCTGTTAGCGTGTACATATATTACATTTATCAGAGAGCTTAAGGGCCTGCCCAAAATGCTATGTATGCTAGTGGCTTTGCATGAATGTAATGCTCAAACACCAATGTTATGTACTATCACAACCCAATGCACTTTATTGAATATATATACTGTATATATATATATATATATATATATATATATATATATATATATATATATATAAATATAAAAATAAATATATAAATAAGTAGTACAAACTTAGAAAACTTGGGAGAAACCAAAACTATTATAAAAAAATGTACAAGTTTTCTGAAATGAAACAAACATAATATAATGAGAGAATATATAATGTGTTTCCTGCTGCTGGGGGACAGAAAGTCTGTTAGGTGTGATGAGGTCCCTTCCCAGTCTAGGCAAACAACTAATCTTTCCTAAGGTGTAACCGACAATAATTGCCTACCTCTGAGGTATCTACGTATCGGTAAGTGAACCGAGGTATTGGATGTAAGGAAAAGCCAGCAAATATCTCTTTCTGCAAGGGAATTGCCCCCACCCCTCCCCAGTACAATTCAGTTGTAAGCTCACTGTGTAAGCCACTGTGCTACAGGGTGCCCTTTCATTTGAGAAAATCTGTACCTGGACATAAGATAATTAGGTACATCCTTATTTTTGTCTTTGTTTAAATACATGTCAAAAATATGAAAAGTCTTAACTATAATAAATACTAAGTCTTTGACTGAGAACTGAAATAGAAATGTCTATGATGCCAGTGGAACCCCAAATAACTTCCTGGTGGAGGGTCTACCCTATGTTCTATGATATACCTGTATAGGTTAATATAGGTTAAACATTTTTAGGCAACATTTACTGAGCAACAGGAAATCCAGCGGCTTCATTAAAAATACCAAGATGTGAATTATGGCAATCGACTGAACATTATATATAGGCTTGCTTATAGTTACCAAGTGTCATTGTTGTTGATATCTATTTAACATTAACTAAATTATGGCCTATAATATCTAAAACTATCAGAATACTTCAAGAAACATGATAACCAAGACCAAATTACTTGTTCCTCCTTAGTGTTAAAAACTACTTGAAAACCATAACTAATAAATCAAAGACCATTATATTTATGAAAAGCCATTTACATCACTCAGTCTTGTCCGATTATGTGAAATCTCTGATATACATAGAAATACAGTAAACATTCAACTAGATTAAACATACTATACCCGTAATAACTTAAACCTCAAACAAAATGGATACAATGAAGGTATTATATCCATATAATATGGAATTAAAAAATGACCATCCTAATCTTGTGTATAATATAGTCGTTATATGGGAACACACACATCATACCCAGCTGACAAATCCAAGTGTGTTGTTTTCTAACCGTACTAAAAATTAAACGGGGTATTGTTCTTGGTATCATTTCAACAATATACTGTATACAACACAATAGTTTTTGTCCTTGACTGTAAATTCTCCTACCTTTGAAGGTGTTTGACGCAGAACACTTAGAGCCTTCTGGTGAGTTATTTCTCTAAAGTTTTCATTGTTCACATTAAGAATCTGGTCACCGGGCTTAAGTCGTCCATCCTTGGCGGCTGCACCATCAGGATACACTTCATGGATAATTATAGCACCCTGTCAATGACAAAGGTACGTATTGTAATTAGAATAACAACAAATTAAATTCATTCTATTTATAGTATTCAAATACTGTACAAATATAGTTAAAACATGCTAATACATCTTATTCCTGTATTTAGAAAGTACACTTTATGCAAATACAGTATTACATTTGTTGACTAATAATGACATTTTGTAAATGCATATTTATTTTGGACAATGAATTACTTTTGTAACTATCAGCAATAAAGCGAATACATAAGCCAGACAGCAACATGCACGAACTCAATGGCCCAGCACATTCCTAACTTACAAGTAACTTACAACTCTCATCAGCTTATGAAGGGTCTGCGAGGGCCAACTTAACTGTTCCTATTAACACACTAATTAACTTGTGATCTATTTACTTATAAATAAAATAAAATGCCTTTTTTCACATTTCAGTTAAGAAATATACCCAATTTTTTAAGCGAGATTAGTTCATTATTCCTTGACAATCTACTATTGTAGCTCTTAAAACCTTGAGGAACTGTGTATAGTCAAAATTAATCCATTACACAACGTTCACCACCAGTATTTAAACAAATAGAATACATTATATACTGTACTACTAATGTTTAGACTTTGGATACTGTTAAGTATTAGAATAATATTTTATTTTGCATTAGACTAATATATATTAAATATTATCCTAAAATAGATTATAAAACTCTTTCATAAATATTATAATCACTGTATTTGTAATTGCATACTCTAATTTATTAATTATAAACTAAAACTTACTCTACTGTATAAACCATGGAACTCTGCAAATGTTCTCTATGCTAATTAAACCAAAATAATAATTCCCCAGCTTTATTATACAGAAACAAATAAATCTAGTAATTTTCTTAGCTATTAAGAGCTTGCTGTCCTACACTAAGAAACATTAGGCACGTTACTTATTATATATATATATTAATAATTCATTGTGTTGGGACAGGAAGCCAGAGTGTATTTATACACGTTAGGCTTATATTGAGATCTCCCTCTCCCCCTCCCCCATGGATCCATTAATGACCCCACCCAGGATGCAACCCCCACAATAAGCTGACAACTCCTGAGTACCTACGTACTGCTAGGTGAATAGGAACATTAGATGAAAGGAAATGTGCTCAGCCATTATTGTCCCGCCCGGGATTCGAACCCGGAATTCTTGATAGTGCGTCAAGAACGAACCCGACTGTACTATCGAGACATGTATAAAAGAAACATAATGACCAGATAGTTTATACTTAACTAATAAAGGCAAATTATCATTTTATTGCAGCAAACACAGTAGCAGTTGTGCTTATGTATAAACATAACAAAACTAAAGTACATACAAGCAGGAGAAAATTTGCAGCATTAAAATCAAACAATAAGAGTATGAAAAACATTCAAACAATGTTTTCGTCTTTCTCAAGGGAAAACAATGTTAAAAATAACAAACCACAAATTACAAACGTCTGACAATCACAATTAACATTTAAAAGAAATGCCAGTCAAGGATGAAGGAGTCTTCACTAGGGATAACATTCTATTAATACAAGTTTATCCCTGAATTGCATTCTTTCAATAATGTGTACATGGTTCGGGTATACAGTATTTGTCCACTGATATTTAGAAGACAAAAGTAATCCTTAAGTAGCAAAATCAACTTGCATTGCAATTTTCAATTCAAATACTTACTCTCTATTTTGTTGTCATTCATGAGGGGGCAAGAAAAGGAAAGACAGTGGTTAATATTTTGAGTTTACAATAAATAATGTATTCTTAATATTGTACACTATACTGTATAAATAAAATTATGAATACTGTAGCTTATACATGCGTAAAGAAATCACACTAGCAAGATACTGTATATCATGATACAGTATATGTAAAACTTGCACTGGCTTCAATAGAAGCCTCCAGACTTCCTGTGGATTCAGTGGAATACCAGGTTGAGTAACTTATCACAGTTCAGGGCTAAGGTGCGCAGCTGGGAGTACCCTTATCGCTGGTTTGAGTCACCTCAGTGCTCTAATTGATTTTATCAATGAATAGCTTCGAAATTTGTGTCTAACCATCCTCCCCCCTTTATCTATTGTACTATGATGACACCAACTTACAACATGAAAACTAAAAATTATCTATGGTAATAAAAACTCCACAGCCAGAAAAATATCAATACTGTACATCGTAGGAATAAAATTTTCTGTTATAGGGAATATTGCCTTTGTACTGTGTTGTGCAGTACCTCAAAACTATCTTCATGTTACTTGTAGGATGATACAGTACATTATATTCTTTTTGAACTAAATGTTAAAAGCTTTACTTTGTATCCAACAGCTTCATAGAGCAGTGGATCAATGTGGGAAACATTTGTATTTTCTTTGGGACCTGTCACAACAGGGGTAACCGACTTGTTCACCTTATGGTTTCCTGTAACCCAGAACAGGAACCTTGCTAAGCTTATTGAGGTCCCCTACAAGACCCTCCCAAGCCAACTATGGATAACCTTCCTCAATACAAAACAGTACCTAATATGAACTAGCACAGTGGCACTGCCTATTGTCCTACAATCTACCAATCCCAAAGCATCCAAAGTTTTAGTTACATTTGCCAAGCCACCAAAATTAAATATATTGAATTCAGACACAGCCAGTAATGGCAATGGTTTCATTCTTAAACAGGGCTAGTAATGGCAACCTCTTTGTTGTTTTCAGGATGCCCTAACCTCTACAGCAGTGTCCTCCAAACTGCAAATTTTTTCTCCTCAAACCTTCCCACAGCATAATTACCATGCTGTGGTACCAAAGTCTGTCTGGCAATGGTTTCATTCTTAAACAGGGCTAGTAATGGCAACCTCTTTGTTGTTTATTAAGCCTTTGCATGGCAATGCTTTATTGCTTCGCAGTGTGAGAAGCGGCAACTACATTTACCTGAATTTACCCAAGGGCCACTGTATCACTAGTGGCCTCAACAAGGACAGAAAGCTGGCGACTTGTCAGAGATCCCCCCCCCCATTGTACTCAAGGATTTTTCCAACTGAATTTCGAACTGAAGTACTGTACAGTAATGTCTTGGAGTTTACGGTTTTGATGGGTAGGCAGTTCCTTGGGTTTATAACCCTATGGGTGAAATAGTATCTCCTGTTTTCCAATCTTCATTAAGGCATGTTGAGCTTGAAGCTGTTGCCCCTTATATGCATTACATTTGTCCATTTAAAGAAGAGGTCTATAGAAATATATTCTAACTCATACCGTATTTAACTCGTGTGATTCACAGAATGACAAACAGAAATCTTCAGCAATTTCAAGAGACCCCTCTAAATAGCTTAAACACTCAAATTCAGTAATAATGTTTGAAACAGGTCAGAGGTTTGACCTTGGGTGGGGGGACCTTAATACAAGTCTAAAGTATATACTGTATATGTATAGCCTTCCTGTTTCTGGCAATGGGAATTATTATTATTCTGTGGATTTCAGTGCTTAGAGTACTGCTTTTCAAGGTACTTTAGGAAACAAGAGCAGTGGATTATTGTATCACACTAAATACCTGTATACAAATTATTCTATCTAGCCTGGCTTGCCCTTAGGTTATCTTGAGATGGGCTTAGCGTCCCCGCGGCCCAGTCCTTGAGCAGACCTCAATTTTTGTTACACCCCCTAGGAAGCAGCCCGTAGCAGCTCTCTAGCTCCCAGGTACCTATTTACTGCTAGGTAACAGGTGCACCAGGGTGAAACTCTGCCCATTTGTTTCCGCCTTCACCGGGGATCGAACCCTTACAAAAAGAAAATGCTCAAAATTAAGGAAGGGGTGGGCAGGTAGAAAAATACAACAGGAAGAGAAATTCAATGATAAAATTAAGACAATGAATAATTTGTCATCCTTGAAGGGGCTCTGAGGATACTACAGTTAAACTGAGAATAAACAGCATTGTTTCACTCCTCAGTTACAACTTAGGGATCCTATTTCATGCATGATTTCTATGTTAGGTCTTAGGGGGGTCCTATTTCATGCCTCCTTTCGGTTAGGTCTTAGGGGTCCTATTTCATGCTTCATTTCTATGTTAATTCTTAGAAATGAGGGATGAAATATGACCCCTAAGACTTAACATAGAAATGAAGAATGAAATAGGACTCCTAAGACCTAGCAGAAATGAAGCATGAAATAGGACCCCCAAGACCTAGCAGAAATGAAGCATGAAATAGGACCCCTAAGACCTAACAGAAAAATGAAGCATGAAATAGGATCCCTATATTAGGTCTTAGGATCCTATTGTACTATAATTTTAAAAGAGAACTCTCAATTATTTAACAAACTCACCAGTAGTGTGTCAGAGCCTCCCACGATGGACAGGCCAAGTCCCATTTTTTCTTTGATGATCTCTATGGTGGTCTCCTTGCCAGGCCGGATTTCTGCAGTTCCTGGGTCCTAGAAACAAAACACTCCCATTCAGTATCTTCTACTTTATAATGTTGTGACATTTAATAAGCAATACTAAAAGCTTTTTCCACTTGGAATTACGGGCGGTTTAGATAAGCGCTTGTCGGATCACGACGTAAATTTACGGACCGTGTTATAGTGGGTATTTACTACTCGATCGACTTGGGGTTTGTATGAATACGTTTGCCATTAAATTTTCGTTTTCTCTAATAGGCACAGTGCCTATTTGAGAAAACGGCAATGTATTGTAACTTAGAGGAGAGACTATTGAGTTGGTGACATAACGAGGGTAATCGCCCACTCGACACACTCTTGTGTTGGCCGCGATCATGATTCTACATTTATATGCATATGTCTGTGTAGAGAATTTTATTCCGAACACTATACAAACAAAAAAAAACGGTGTGAAACAAGTATAAACTTGAAAAAACATGAGCAAAGTAAAAACTTTTTACGCTCACGGGTACAAACACGCGTAAGATTTTATTCGCCGCAAATTTATTTGACGCTCTATTGGCCAATTCTACCCATGTTCTTATAGAACTTTCTATGTTATATATAAAACTTTCTATTGCGAACACATTGCTATAAAAATGAAATACGTAGCTCGAGAAATAATGTCAGGACAGTGAAATAAGTATAAACTTTCAAAGCGCTGCATCACAACAGTGTCGTCGCTGCTGAAATCACGGCTAACGCTTCGCCCAGTTCCCACACTCGTGTGGAACATAATTAGACATTGATAGGCATATGTCTGGGTGGGGAATTTTATTGCGAGTTCAGTGATATCAAAATAAGTGCTGTAGGATGACTGTGAGGCTGGCAACAAACGAAAGAGTATGAACATTTACTTCCTGTTTGGGTGTCACGGCGAGTCATCTTCGTGTTTATTTACTTCATGGTGGGATAGCAAATGCTTTGGTGACTTTTTATGCATATGATCTTGTAGAGAATTTTATTGCCAACGCATTGATACCAAAATGAAAAACGTAGCTTGAGAATTGATGTTAGGAGCATGAAAAGATTATACACTTTCTTGTGTTTACGCTTGAGCGCCCAGAACGCGCCCTAGATTTTATTTAGGAGTTTCTTAGATTAAATATTCAACTCGGATACCTAGAAAATAAAAGCACAAGTAAATTATTTTGCACTGTACAACATAACATTACACTAACCTGAGGTTTCTCCTCTGCAGGAGGAAGCGAGGATGGGGATGATGTCGTTGAAGTTGACGAAGTGGTGGATGTTATGGACGTTAGAGCATGTGAAGGTAATCGATCAATGGGTGCCAGTCGAGCAGGGGGTAATGGGGGTGAGGAGGGAATGGCAGGTTCATCCATAGACGACGATAATATGGGCGCCGACAAAGGTGACGTTGCAGAGAGTAATGGGGGTTTGGCAGGCAGGGCAGGTTTAGGACCAAGTGTTGGTTTTGGTGGCACATCTGTGGAAATATACCATAGTTGAAAATGGTGAAAATATTGTGTAACTTTAGAAATATTGTAAATAATTACAGTATACTTAAGCTGGGATTATTTTATTTTCAAGGAATATAGATATACTGTACCATACAAGATTACCATAACACAGCATGAGATGACCAACAAAAACATTTACAATGCACGAGTGCTCTTGCTACAGTAGACCTGTGATGTGACGGCAGGTGACCAATTATTTTTTTTACATGCAATGTGAGTGGAGTGGAGTTTGCCTCGGTATTAAACCTACAAAGTTTGTTCTGAATTATAATCTGTATCAGAGGTTAGAGCCTTAACCAGAATTTGTAAGAGACTATTAAAGAACATGACAATAAAAATAGACGACATTATTTCTAGATACTGTATATTAAATGACAGATTGTCAGGGTTGAGTCCTACGTAAAAATATTGTTTGAAGAAATATCGAAAGCACCTTTCTGAGCGATAAACTGCAATTAAAAAGGCGAGGGCAAATCCAGACCATAAATCGGGACCCAGCAAATCACCCATAGGAAAGCAGAGGTAGTGTCAAGCTTGGACTAAGACAGGTGTTAAAGATATTGCGTCCGTATGGAGCAACAAACTTCAAGCAGACAAAGAGTAACCATGGACACTTTGGCAATCCCCCAAAGCCCTGTGACCTCTCCCCACCACAGGGAAGAAAAGACTAGTAAGGAAGCCTATATCCCCATTGAAGCCCAGAAACTTAACAGAGAGAATAGAAATGCAGGAATCACCCACGGAAGCCCTGGAATGTTGAAAGTGAAATAAGTTCATTGAGATATAAATAAACACACAAAGGGATGAGGCAGCTCAAGCTACTCTTGGCATATTGGATTATGCCCAGTACTGTCCTATGACTTGAGAATGAATGATGTAGGTTCGAAACGTTGTATAAATTTATAATAAGTGTAACACATTCTATAGTTACTTCTTTTTCTTCACCTCAAACGAAGATGTCTTTTGGAGAAATCCTCTTCCAATTAAACCAAGATACAAGAGCACTAGTCAGAGGTATAGAAGCCCTAAACAAGAAAATAATCAATACAGAACATGCAGTCATATTCAATGAAACATCTATAAATGAAAACCTGCTGCCAGTATACACCAATATATATAGACAGTGGAACCTCGATTAACAAATTTAATCTGTTCCAGCATCGAGTTCGTCACGTGAAACACTCGTCTTTCAAAACAAATTTCCCCATTTAAAATAATGTTAATAAAATTAATCCGTTCTACTGCCGAAAAACATCAATATGATGTTCAATTTTTTTAAATAATGGAGCAGCCTACCTGACATTCACTGAACAAACCTTCATGCCATTTTTCTTTTTCTTTTTTCAAATTTGTTCAAATTTTTTTTATTTCTCATTTTTTTTTGTAAGAAAATGGAGCAGCCTACCTGCCATACACTGAACAAACAAACCTTTATGACATTTTTTTTTTAAATTTGTTCAATTCTTTTAGTTTTTCATTTTTTTTATAGAAAAATGTTCATTCAGTGTCTGTCAGGTAGGCTGCTCCATTTTCTTACAAAAAAAATACTGTATAAAAATGAAAAATAAAAAAAAATTGAACAAATTTGAAAAAAGGAAAAATGTCATATAGGTTTGTTTAGTGTTCGTCCGGTAGGATGCTCCATTATGACATTTTTTCTATTATTCATATTTGTTCAATTTCGTTTGCATTTTTCATTTTTTTATTAATAATGGAGCAGCCTACCTGGCACACACTGCACGAACCTTTATGACATTTTTCCTTTTTTTTTCAAATTTGTTCAATTTTTTTTATTTTTTGTCTTTTTTATTTTTTTTATACAAAATGGAGCAGCCTACCTGACAATCACTGAATGAACCTTTATGACATTTTTTTTTCATATTCTTTCAATTTTTTTTTAATTTTCCTTTTTTTTTTTAGAAAATGTAGCAGCCTACCAGACATTCACTAAACAAACCTTTTTGAAATTTGTTCTTTCAAATTTTTTCGATTTTTGTTTCTAATACTGTATATCTAAAAAACAAAAATCAATGTTTTGTAACATTACAGCAGTCACCCCTTTACATCCTGCATCATTAGCATCTTAAAAAAAAAAAAAAATTTGCATTGTCAGTGGTGTCCGAGAATGTGCGAGAACCATGGGAATGCTTGGAAGCACCATGTGCTTTTCTCGTTAATCAAGCAAAAGCTCGTCAATCGAGACAAATTTTCACCAAGTGGCGCGCTCGTTATTCGAAATGCTCGAATGAGGCGCTCATCACTCGAGGCTCCACATATAAAAAAAAAACGAAAAATGAAAAAAGCAGTTGAAACAATTTGAAAAACGGACAAATGTCATAAAGGTTCGTTCAGTATTTGTCGGGTAGGCTGCTCCATTATGACAATTTTTCTGTGTTTCAAATGTTTTCCATTTGTTTTGTATTTTTCATTTATTTCTCAATAATAAAGCAGCCTACCCGACAAACGCTGAACGAACCTTTATGACATTTGTCCGTTTTTCAAATTCTTTCAACTATTTTTTTATTTAAGAAACATGGAGCAGCCTACCTGCCGAACACTGAATGAACCTTTTGACATTTGTTCTTTCTTTAAAAAAATTCATTTTGTTTTTCTACAAAAAATTCAATGCTTTGCAACATCCCAGCATCAATAGCATCTTAAAACAAAGAAAAATAATTTATTTGCATTGTCGCAGGCATCTGAGAATGTGCGAGAAGCAGCCCCCAGATGCGATGGCATGCTACAAAATTGCTTCCAGAACTGTAAAACAAGAGTTAAGAGGAGAGACTAGAGGCATTAAACATGCCAAAAGTAGAAGATAGAAGAAAGAGAGGTGCTATGATCACCACTTACAAAATACTAATATTAATAGACCAAATTGACAAATAAGATTTCCTGAAACCAGCACCTTCACGAACAAGAGGACACAGATTCAAGCTAAGGAAACAGAGGTGTCCAAAAAATATTAAAACAATTTTCTTTTGCAAACAAGAGTGGTAGACAGTTGGAACAAGCTAAGTGAGAAGGTGGTAGAGTCCAAAACTGTCAGTAGTTTCAAAGCATTATACGACGAAGAGTACTGGGAAGACGGGACACCACGAGCTTAGCTCTCATCCTGTAACTACACTTAGTTAACTACACACATCACAATCAATATACTGTGCTATATTACTGAACATTCTGGTCGATAAACAAATATAATTTTTCCTTTACACCTGCATTATGATGCCAGACATACACACAAATACTTTTATGACTAGGTACATAGACAAATTGCTATAGACATGCAGACAATTCAACAAAAGGTTACAATCTTGGTGGAAAATTCTCATCTCTCTCCAGAATATCATCAATCTTTCCATTGTGACACATCTAGGCTATTTGTTCAGGAACATTCCTTATCTCATTATTTCTATAATCAACAGGAAATCAAGAACATTATGGGTGAGGGTATGAGACCTTAACATACCACATAGTTTACACGTTTATTATCATTAACATCTGTTCCATATTCTCAATAATATTTGTACCCAAGCCTGAGCCGCATGTGTACAGAGTCACTCCAACCATTTCTCCTTTTATCATAAGTGAAGTAGGTGTTTTGATTTGCACACGTGTAGTGTTGCATGGTTTGTCTTCCATCATACAATATACCTTTCCTCACCAATGTTGGGAAGCCAAAACACTAGGCCATCCCAAAGAGACAAGAGAACTAAAACAGACAGTAGGTGCCCTTGGTCTCTGTCATATCTTCAGGGCGAACAGCCCCTGATGCTGCCTCCAAAACCCTTCAGCAACCCACTCTCAGGCTGCAGTTGCCAAAACATAAAATGATTCCAGACATTCGTGTGTAACAATCGGCCAGATCACTAAGCCACCTTTTACTTTAACCCTTAAACTGCATCTGTCGCCATATGCGATTTTTCTTCATTTCACTTGTGAACTATTCTTAGTCTTGCACACCTCATTGTAGGACTGTTAAATACTGTAGCTGAACCATTTAAGTGTTAAGGTATTGGCACACAAGCAGTCCCCAGAATGCTTGAATGTTAAATTAGCAGCTGCTGCCCTCAGTAATAAACGAATATTTACATAAAAATCAGTGCCAATCAATATACAAGGAGTCTATCAGTACAAATTTAGTATTTATACTGATAGACACGAAACAAAATATGAAATATTTATTACCATAGTTTGTATGGTAGGTATTAATTATATTAATTATGTTCAGTTAATTAACTATGTTCATTAATTAATGTTCATTAATTATGTTCCAAGGTATTAATTAAAAAAAAATGAAATATCAAATTATATATACTGTACAGTGCTGTACATATCTGTCATTCACAGATATAACTTCATAAAGTTATTACACCAGCTTTATAATATCTAAGCATCTAAGACATTAATTATGAATATCATCATCATCATCATCATCAAAGGTTTAGCAAATAAAATTACCACAATCTTTACCCAAAAAAAACCATAGGATCCCTGCCTATTGACTAGAGAAAAGTGTACTTCATGCACATGCTGCAGCTAATTAAACAACAATTAATGCTGGCTGCAGATTGTGTTTGGGACATTCATTTAGTGCCTGGACGAGGAACTACAGCATTCACTGCCATATTTATAAGCATCTTGAGGTTACCTTGAGCATCACAGCATGCACGCCCTATCCTAAGGTTGGCATTTGGTAAGAGTAATATATGTATTGTAGTTAACAAAAAAGCCTCTGATCACGATAAAATCTAGCTCGGAAAATGAATCTATTATCAATTATAGCGTAATATAAAAATGTATACTATGTGCCCACATACTGCACTTATAAAACTATTTTATAAAATGTATGGATTTAATAATGACAGAACTACGCTTCATACTTGTAATCTAATGCTACACAATTACTGGTAGCTACAAATGGGGTTAGGATTAACTGGCTCATCAACATTAAAATAGCTCATTT